CATCAGCGGCGCGCCCGCCGCGCTGGGCCGGCTGGCGGCGGCGGGCAAGCGGCTGTGCTACGTGACCAACAACAGCGGGCGGACGCGCGCGGCCTACACCGAGAAGCTGCGGCGCCTCGGCTTCCCGCCCGCCGAGCCCCGCCACATCTTCGGCTCGGCCTTCTGCGCCGCCCGCTACCTGCGCCAGGCGCTGCCGCCCGGCGCCGCCGCCTACGTGCTGGGCGGGCCCGCGCTCGCCGCCGAGCTGGAGGCCGTGGGCATCCCGCACCTCGGGCCCGGGCCCGCCGCCCTGCCCGGCCCCGCGCCCGCCGACTGGGCGCAGGCGCCGCTCGACCCCACCGTGGGCGCGGTGCTCGTGGGCTTCGACGAGCACTTCAGCTACGCGAAGCTGTGCCAGGCGCTGCGGTACCTGCTGCGGAACCCCGACTGCCTGCTCGTCGGCACCAACCGCGACCACCGGCTGCCGCTCGAGGGCGGCGCCGCCATCCCCGGTGCGCCAGGAGGGGGGCGGAGGGGGTGGTCCCGGTCCCCCTGCTCTGCGGGACTCCATGCTTAGCCCTGAATCATCCCACCTCAGTGCTGTTGATAGAACAGGAAGTTGCACCTCAATATGAGGAAGAGCTGCTTTCCGTGAACGGTGGCAGAGTATTGGAACAGCTGCCCAGGGGGGTTGTGGAGTCTCCCTCTCTGGAGACATTCCAGCCCCACCTGGACAGTCCCTGTGTCACCTGCTGCAGGTGACCCTGCCTGGGCAGGGGTTGGCCTGGGTGATCTCCAGAGGTCCCTTCTAATCCCAGCTATCCTGGGATTCTGTGGGACAGCCCAGGTCTCCCAGAACCTGCACTTTGCCTCACAGCACCCCTGAAAGAGGGAGAGTCCGTGCTTAACCTTTACTCAGGGAATAGTGGATCGTTTTTTGACTCACTGTGGGACAAAAGTCCAGCCTCCCAAGAGGCGTCATGTGCCCCCGTGCTGGGGCTGGGCTGTCCCAGTGGCTGTAAAGCTGAGCTGTTGTGCTGTCCCAGTGGCTGTAAAGCTGAGCTGCTGTATCCCCAGGGTGGGTGTGGGTGCTGGGAGCCCTGTGCTGGCCCTGACCTGTTGCTGTGTCCCCAGGGACGGGCTGCCTGGTGAAGGCGGTGGAGACGGCGGCGCAGCGCGAGGCCTTCATCGTGGGCAAGCCCAACCGCTTCATGTTCGACTGCATGGCCAGCGAGTTCCCCGTGGACCCCGCCCGCACCATCATGGTGGGGGACCGGCTGGACACAGACATCCTGATGGGGAACAGCTGCGGGCTCACCACGCTGCTCACCCTCACCGGCGTCACCGCGCTCGGAGAGGTCCAGGCTCACCTGGACAGCGACTGCCCCGCCAGGCACAGCCTGGTGCCCGACTACTACGTCGACAGCATCGCCGACCTGCTCGACCTGCTGCCAGCCCCGGGCGAGTAACGGGGCAGCCCTGCCCCGGGGACAGCCCCCATGGCAGTAACCTCCTCACTAGGTACTCCTCGGAGTTAGCAACCCTTAGCTTCTCACCTCTCTGTCCTCTCGGTATGATTCTGTTTACATCTCACTCTCGAAATGCACTTTGGAACAAAGGGGGCATTGCAGTGGCCCCCAGGGCTGGGGGCTTGGGGCTGGTCTTAGTTATAAACAAATCTCTCCAATGTTAGTGACGCTCCACGGCACAGAGTCCTCAGGACTGGGCTGGGGGAGTAGAGCTGGTTGATGTGAGGAGAAGGGCTGTGTTCTGGCCAGGCTGGGCTGGGGCTCAGCCTGGTTTGTTCAGGGAAATGACTCTCGGCATGTGCAGGAGCTGTGGTTGTGTTTGGAAACACTTGTGGAGCTGGTGTTTGCCCTGGAGACGATTCTTTTTTCCCCTGGGGCCCTGTTCAGGGGTGTTCCGGGGCATCGAGTCACAGAAACTAATTCATCTCCTTCATTTGACCTCTGCAGATTGCACCTGTGACACAGATAGGGGTGATCCCACACGAATCCAAACCGTGGCTGCTGCACACTGTGTCTGTCCGGGGTCAGGTGTGTGTACAGCACATACACACAGGCACTCCCTGAGCCCAAGGACAGAGCAGAATATATTTAAATTATAAATTTAAGCAGAGTCTATGATAATATATCTTGCTTCCCAGGAGGGAGGATGAGAGGAATGTACTTACTGGTGACAGTAGCTGTAATTCTCCTGCATGCAGAGTCTGTAGCCACACAGGACTGTCCTCCACTCCTGCTGCTTCCCAGGAATACCCAGATCGATCCGTACCGAGTTCTGTGCTTCCCTCAGCATCAACACAGCCGCTTGCTTTGGCTTTATATGCAGACCCCCAGGTCCTGCTCAGTCCCTGGATGGGTGTGGGGCCCAGGGCAGCTCTCCCCAGGGGCTCCTGTGTGTGGCAATGGTACGTGCTTCCTTCCCACCCCGAGGTTCCCTCCTTCCAGGGGGGTCGGGCGTGCTGGGGCTGTGAGGAGGGCTGGCTTGCTCAGGGATGATTTCAGTTTGGTCTCCAGGTGGGGTGGGTGGCGAAGGGCTCAGCCATGGGGTGAGATTCTGTGCTGGCTGAACCCACTGTGAAAGCTTTTGCGTTATAGAATTAATTGAAGATTATATATGCAAATAACATGCTTCTATTGCATAGATTCCGGTATCTACAGTTCAATTTCAGCACTGGTTTTCCTTCCTGTCGTGCTGTCCAGCTGTGGCAGTGCTGATGCCATTTCCTGCTTGGTAACTTGTCACCTTGTTTGTACAGCAATAACTCTGTGGTCCAGAGGGTCTCGGGCTTCCCAGAGTGCTGGCTGATCCTTTCAAAGGCTGTTTGTTTGTAATGTGGGGTTGTGCCAGGAACTGTGGATAATCTCTTCCTGCTCCTGTCTCAGCTGGAAGGACTGTGTGGAGTCACCCAGGCAGAACCTGCCCTTGATGTGGGTAACGTGGAAATGGACATGATGGATTCACCACAGGTCGTGTCCGATGGAACCGTGTGTCTTTGGATTCAGTCCCTGGAGCTGGTGCTTTCAGTGTCAGGATGTGTCAGGAGAGGTCCAGCCTCTCTCGGGCAACTCTGCCCTGCCGAGGGCTCTCTCTGGCCGAGGGAGCCGTTGCCTGGACTCAGGGATGCTGGAAGGTGCTGGTGGTGGTGTCAGTCGTGCTTCAGAACTCTCTACCGACTTCCAAACGGTTTTTAATCCTCTACTTGAATTCCCATTAAACTCTCAAACCTGCTCTCCCTGTATTGTCTCATTTTGTGGTCTCGTCTCCACGAGCTTTGGTGCAGCTGTGCGGTGGGAACCCTGGGAGTTAGGGATGCACTTTGGAAGGGAGCCTAAAGATTCCTTCCCAGTCTCCCATCCAACCCTGCCCTCTGGCAGTGGGAAGCCATTCCGCCCTGTCCTATCGCTCCAGGCCCTTGTCCAAAGTCTCCCTCCAGCTTTGTTGTGGGCTCTCTTCAGCCAGTTTGGTCAGCCCTGGGTCATGCTTGGTATGAATGTCCCAAAGCTGCATTTTCCCTGGGTAGACACCACCTGAAGGAATGCTGAGCTTTTCCTTGTCTCCACACCTTGGCTGGCAGGTCTTAGCTGAGAGCTCCTGGACTGCTCAGGATCTGTTGATCTGGGAATGCCGTTCCCTGGGGTGTTTCCCAGGGCAGGACAGGGGTGGCAGCGCAGGTGGTGACAGTGACATCGTGCCAGGGCCCCGTCTGCAGGCGGGCAGGGCTGTCTGTGAGCCAGGGCTCGCAGGACAGGGCACCAGCCTTGGCAGAGCACAAAGTGCTGCTGGGATGTGGAAGCAGCCGCTGCCAAGGGCAGGCTGCCACTGTCCCCTGCCATTCGATCCCTCAATGAGCCCCACCTGGGCCCTGCCAGCCCCGGGGCCACACAAAGCCCCGATTGTGGCTCCCGCTGCAGGGCCGAGCCAGGCACTGACAGCAGCTCCGGGCACACCTGCAGCTCCCGTGGAGCCCCTCGGCCGCAGGGATGGGTATTTATGTCTGCTGGATGCACGTTCAGGTTTCCCAGGTGTGCCTGGAGCAGGGATCATGCCCAGTCTGTGCGTGGGCAGGAGGCAGAGCGGCAGCAGCCAGGTCCTCGCCTGAAGAGGAGGATGGAGGGTGGGGACGGCGCCGGCCCTGCTGCCCCTGCAGTGAGTATCCCTGTTCCCAGCAAATCCCGGGAAAAGGCTGGCTCTGTCCTTCCTCTGGGGCTTGACTTTGGACAAGGGTGTGACCAGACAACTGGGAATGGCTTCCCGTTGCCAGAGGGCAGGGTTAGATGGGATGTCAGGAATAAATCCTTCCTGTGAGGGTGGGCAGGCCCTGGCACAGGTTGCCCAGAGAAGCTGTGGCCGCCCCAGCCCTGGAAGCGTCCAAGGCCAGATTGGATGGGGCTTGGAGCAACCTGGGCTGGTGGAAGGTGTCCCTGCCCATGGCAGAGGAGGTGGAACTGGTGGGTTTTAAGGTCCCTTCCAACCCAAACCATTCCAGGATTCCATGATTCTGTCACAGACAGAGCCCCTGCTCTGTGCTTGCCTGATTCTGCTCTGAGGTGGCTGAGATCCCACCATTCCTCTGGATCCTGGTAAGGTTTTGCTCATCCTCAGCATCCCCAGTTCAGCTCCTGTAAGGCAGCTGGGTTGGTTGGAACTTTGAGGGGTTAAACCTGTCGGGTAACAGGTCAGAGTGCCAAGGAAGCCTGGCCTGAGGCTGCTGAGGGGATGAGTGGGAGCCGAGAGCTGCCGAGGGCTGGGAGCTGCTGGATTGCTCTGTATGCACCTTTCCCACCTGAGGGAATTCCATTAGCTATGGAAAACCTGCCAGTTACTGCAGGGCTGGGGCTCTGCTCTGTTTGAATTAACAGGATTTCAGTTGTGTGCAGTTTTAACTAACTGCTTTTCTGAGGGAATAATCTGGAAGTTCCCCATTTGCAGCTAAGATCTGTAACTGCCCCAAAGCTGGATGAGCTTGTGCAGCTGGAGCACATCTAACCCTCAGTTCTTCAGAGAACTGGGGAACAGGTTAATTTTTTAAGTGTGGCTTGTGTTTGAGATTATCGAAAGCACATTTTCTGCTTTGCAAAAATCCCGTTATGTACCGTGAAGTTAAATTTAATTGCCTTAACATGAGAATTAATGTAAATTAATAGAGCCAAGAGAAGTGTTCACAGGACTGCTGAGCCCTTTTTCTTGGTCCCATGGAGAACAGCTTAGGAAGAATATCCAACACAACCAAACACAGGGAGGGGCATGGAAGCAGGATCACATCCACATGGGGTCTGATTCCAGTGCTGAGGGCTCCTCTGGGGACTTCTGCTGTAAACCAAAATAATTTAATTTGTTGTTCCCTGTGTGTGGAAGGAAAGCTGCTGCTCCAGCCCTGCCCTGGGGGCGTTGCAGCTTCTCTGGCTGTGGCAGTGCTGGTTAGTGGGATGTGGGATCTGGAATTCCAGCACTGTGGGATGAAAGCTCCGTTATTCCAGGTGCTGTGATGGTTTGGCTGTTCTGCACTGTAACCAGTTTGCACAAATATTTGTGTCATGAGCAGGAAGCACGTTTGATGATGAAGAATTGGCAGAAGGGTCAATTTTAACTCCTGTTCCTCCTTCCTTTGCCCGGTTCCCAGGACGGGAGGGCCACAGCACGACTCCCAGCTCCCTCCAGGACCTTCTGGATCAGCCTGTCCATTGCCTTGTTATTTTTTGCAGTTGTTGGCATCAGCATGGGGGTTCTCAGCTTGTCCCCCAGCTCTGCCCAGGTAAGGGATCCCGATCCAGCAGGAAGCCCCTCCTGCCCACAGCCCCAGGTTGTGTGGGCAGCAGTTCCCAGCAGGGAGAGATCAGGGCTGGGTTTGGCTGGATCCCACCCTGGAGGAGGCAGGAAGGTGCCAGCAGGCTGCAGGCAGGGCTGTGGCAGTGGCTGGGAGTCCCCTGGCCCTTTCCTGCAGCACCTTTGGTGCCTTTGGCTGGAGGGCATCGGTGCCTCTCCCCAGCCCTGCATGATGGAGAGCAGATCATCCTTCCTGTGAGTCAGGGCTTCCTTCTCTCCGTTCCTAAATCCTCCAGGCAAACAGCAGGGGCCAGCACAGGGTGCAGGGGGGGATGTTGGTGGGAGATGCTGGCACGAGCAGCTGCCGGTGGGTGCTGCCTTCCCGCTCCTTGTGCCCAGGCTGGCTCCCAGCCCGCCCGACTGACGCTGCAGGGCCAGCAGGACCCCCTGAGGAACCAGACAGCCTTGGTGGACAAGTCCAGGAGCACTGTCACCTACTACGTCACCTCGCAGAGCAACCTCAGCGCCGTGGTGCTGTACGACGGCAGCAACGTGAGTGCTGGGGCTGGGGGAGCGCTCAGAGCAGCCCGGGCTGCTGGGGCGGGAGCACGAGGTGTAGGCCTGGAAGAACAACCAACAGCTCCTGCTTGGTGCCTTTCTCTGCACCTTCAGTCAGGGAAGACAATGCAAGGGAGAGGAGGAATGTCCGTTTTTGGGCCTCCTCAGCCGTGGGTGCGTGTCCTGCCCGCTCTGAGGGCTGTCTGTCTGGCAGGGCTACGTGTGCTACAAGCCCGTGGAGCAGAGCACCTGCTACCTGAGGAGGATGGACCCCTGGGACCTGCAGACCCTGCAGGCAGCTCTCAACATGTCTGAGCAGAGGGTGAGCACTGCTGTGGCCACGGTGGGGGGCAGCTGTGGGGATGGGGGCACAGACTGGGCTTTGCACGGGGTCTTGGCTCACTGAAAGCCCTCCTGTGGGGATTTGCAGTGGTGACTCCCCAGCACCAGCACGCCAGGCAGGGCTGGAGGAGGGCAAGGGCTCTCCCAGCCCGGGGGAGCAGAGGCAGCCCCCTCTTCTGTGCCGTTCCTGCTGGGGGGATCCTCGGGAGGATTTAACAGGGATGTTTCTTTCAGGCCGAGCAGCTGCTCCGTCACAACAACCACACCAAATACTACCGCGAGTTCCTGGGCATCGTGGCGGGGGAGCAGGTGGAGCCCGAGGGCCTGGGGGAGGCTGTGCAGAGCCTGTGTGAGCACACAGCCATCTTCTGGGTGCGCAGAGGGCAGGGTAAGTGGGGCAGTCCCCTTGGCAGGGGAGGCACAAGCTTTTCTCGCGCTCTAAGAGGATCAGGCTCTGCCGCACAAAAGCTGATGCATCCCAGGACAGGCTGCCAAGGCCCAGGACAGGGACAGGTGACCTCTAGTGCAAAATCAAACCATTGTTCACCATCCCCCTGTGCTGGCTCGTACCCACACCCTGCCCTGGCAGCTCTGAGCCCCCACCCCGGGCAGCACAGCCCGACTGCAGAGCACAGCCACACACAGAGCTGTCCCCTGGGACACTGCTGCCTTAATCCTTGTCACCTCCATCCTCACACGAGCAGCCTGCTGAGCTGTCAGTCAGCCCCAGCTTTAATGAGGAAGGTCGCTCCCTGAGGCTTTCCACTTGCTCACCTCCCCAGGGACTCGTGGCTGCAGCATCAAAGCGTTCCTCTCACCCGCTCCTGTCCTTGCTCGTTGGCAGGTCCTGGGAAGCAGCGGCTGATCTACCTGTGCATTGACATCTGCTTTCCAAGCAACATCTGTGTCTCTATCTGCTTCTATTACCTCCCTGAGTAAGTGCTGAGCCGTGGACACCCTCTTGCTGCCCTACATACTTGAACTGGATTCCTGAAAAGCCTCCCATTTCCACAAGGAAGGCAACACCCACAGCATCCCCAGAGCCTCCTGCTGATTTCACGCTGCACCTCGGGAGGCTTTAGAGAAACAGGAGGCCTCTGCTCAGCACTGGCAGCACAGACAGTCCCTGCAGCTCTGCCCTAGGGCTGCCACATCCATAGGAATTAGGAGCCCCAGGCCTAGAGGAATCCCAGGGAGCAGCTGGTGTTCTGGGGCTCCGAGCCCTGTCCAGCACAAAGGTGGTTACATTTGCTGGGGTTGGCTTCAGAAGAGCAGCTCTCCAAGTCACTTTGTGAAACATTTTGAATAAAGGGATTGCAACCAAGACAAGAGCTGCCTTTCCTCTTTGCTCAGTCTCTTCCGTCGCTTAGAAAGTCTCATTTTTATTTTTCTCCCACTTTGGGGTACAAGAACATACCAAGCTGTCAGCAGCTGATGCCACAGGCATTCCTCCAGCTCAACTGCACCCGTCTCCCTGCAGTGGGATCATGGCCCCTGTCCCGTTCCCTCCCTTGGAGATCACACACGTTTCAGCAGTGTCCTGCTCAGAGCTGAAGCCTGGTCTCACCCCAGGCAGCTGCAGCTGCTTCTGCCAGGGCCCAAGCCCTCTCCATCGGGAAGGGGACGGGCACAGTGCATGTCCTGGCTCTGGAGAGAGTCCTTGTCACTGCAAGGCAAGGGGAAACACACAGAGCTCCTCTCCTTCCCACACGTGCCCGTTATCCCAACACGCTGTCGTTGAAGGCGAGGCAGACCACGGCCTTCTGGTGGCCACTGTACTCCCTCTTGATCTCTCCTGTCTCCACACACCAAAGTCTGGCCAGGTTATCAGAGGAGGCTGAAACAAAGAGTGAAAAAGGGAGTGGGATGTAAGGCATTACATTATAAACTTCTTCTTTTATTATTATTATTACTATTATTAGAAATAGTTTCCTCTTGCTTCACTCACCACCATCCTTAGGGCTGGTGATGACCAGCAAGGCAGAGCAGCTCAGTGCATTTCTGTATTAACTGGGATTTTAATAAAGAGCAGGGACTGTGGAAATTACCACAGGTTTGTTTTGAAGGGACAACCACGCTGCACACTGCGAGCAGCACTGATCCCAGGTGAGACCAACTGCCCACCTGGAGACCCCCTCTCTGGTTTGCTCAGGTGTCCATTGCAGCACAGGCAGAACGTGCTGGGGGTGTGAGCCTGGGTGCTCCCACCTGTGCCCAGGTGTGGCAATGCCCCAGCCACGGGAACTGGTCAGCCCTGTGCCGGTGCAGGCCCAGGTGCCTCACCTGTGACGATGTACTGGGAGTCCCCAGAGAAGGCACAGTCCCACATCCAGCCCCGAGATGTCTCCCCGGGGTTGTTGCTCTTAATGCTCAGCTCTGTCATCAGAGAGAAGTTTGAAGTCCTCCAGATCTTGCACGTCTGATCTGCAGAACAGGTAGCCAAGAGCCTGCAAGGAGGAGCCATGTGAGGGTGACCTTGTCGGTCACGCTGTCCACCTACAGGCCTCTGGTCACCACGGGCCTGGCCAGTGATGGCCTGGAGACCTGCTTTCACTGCACTCACTCACATCTCCTTACACCTGTACTGTCTGATTTATGAGATTCCAGCTGAACAGACTCCATCAAGGAGCTCACACTGCTCCTGGAGATCAGCAGTGGGATCCCAGCTGCAGGAACAGCTCAGGGAGCACGAGTGGGACGCCACTGAGAGCAACCCTGTGGTGACACATCCCCTGCCCCCTCCCTGGGGCCCTGCAGCCTGGAGCCAGCATCAGCCACGGCTGGGGGCACAGCTGGGGGTACAGCTGAGCTCTGCCTGCCCGGGAAGGCCGCGTTTCCCAGGGGAGGGAGGAGAGGGCTGCCCACACGCACGTGGAGTCGGGGCTGAACTTGCACTGCAGGGCGTAGCGATTGTGCGCCGGGATCTTGGTCTTGGGGATCAGCTGCGTCACCTCCTCGCCGATGCCGCCCGTCAGGTTCCACACGTAGCAGTTTCCCTGTGGAGAGACAATGGGATCTGTGCTCCTCACCCCAGCCTGGATGTCCCCGTCCCACGGCCGGTCCCCGAGCTCACCGAGCTGTTCACAGCCGCCATGTAACTGGCATCGGGGTCGATGTGCACCGAGTTCACCGACACCTCGGGCTCCGGGATGAGCTGCTCGTTGTGGTCAGTCTTCAGGTCCCAGATGTGGATGGCACCGCTCTGGTCGCCCACGATCAGCTCTGCCTGCAAGGGAACAGCCCCCCGTGAGCAGCAGCTCACCCTGAGCTGACACCCTGATGGAGCCAGTGCAGCAGCATGGGGAGCCCTGCTCTGCTTTCAAGCACCAGGGTCCTGTTCTGCCTCCTTCCTCCCCAGCACAGGGCTGTTCCACACATTGGCTGCACGAAAAGCAAGCCAAGTCCTGACTCCTGTCACACTCTGCAAAAGGCTGTTTCCCTTCCCAGAAGTGCCTGTTAATTTTCTAAACCCCAGAGCAGCTGCCTGAATTCCAGAGCTGTTGCACACCTACAGCTCCCAACAAAATCCACAGGAGCCAAGTGATTTTCAGCACATCTGAGAGGAAGTATTTAGATGCAGCTTGGCCAGCGAACAACTGAAGCACTCAAGAGCACACAGATACCTGAAAAACACAACCTGGAGTGGTTTTTTCTCTCTCTCCCGCCTTCTCAGGGGAAGGACAAGAGCCAGCTGAAGGGCAGAGTCCTGGCTCTGATCCCATGCTCAGGGCAGAAGACAATGCTGGCACCTCTCCACTCAAACAGGGCTTTATCGACGGCCCTGCGCTGCCCACAACTCCAGTACTATCCCTAGAGGAGATCAGGTCATCAGGCACAGCTAATCCTGGACCTGGGAGCACAAACACCACTGATATATTCACCTGACTGCACAGAAGCCTTTTCTGGGCACCTCAATCCTCAGGCCCTCTTGGCAGGTGTAAAGTGCAATTCCTGAAGCCATCACGGTTTAGCCAGGCCATGAGGAATCTCTGGCATACCTGGAGCAGCATCTCTGCAGAGGGAATTGCAGAGCCATGGACCTACCTGAAGAAATGCTGCCACCTTTGGACTAATTAACCACATCCTGCTCACAAACCAACACTGCACCTCAGCAGCATTTTGGTCAGTGATCATTTTCCATCTAAGACCTACGGGAAGCAATATTTGTTTTAACATATTCTCACAGCACTGACACTTTCCCACATTTGGGAGCATTTGGGTAAAGTCTGGTGCAAATAACTCAAAATCTGGTCTGAAATTCCTGATTTGCAAAATTAATCCTTTGCCAAATGAAATGCAAAGGAACACTTCATTACTCAGCATTTTACACGGGTCTGCACTGCCCTGTCTGCAAGCAAAACCCCAGCCCTGCAGCCCAGCACAGTCATTAGCGCTGCAATGATCCCTATTGATTTCCCTGCTAATGCACCACGTTCCCTTCAGCCTCGTTCCAAGCCCCAGCCCTTCCTCTGCTCAGCAACTTCAACAACTGCTGAACCCACTGGTGAAACTCAACCAAAGGTGATGGCAATCGTGGCTGTGGGCCCTGAGATGCTTTTTCTTGCCAGTAGTGCCACCTAAAGCTCCTGGCACCAGCAGCTTGGCCAGGGAGGGGGCAGATGGGGGGTGAGAAGGAGGCTGCTGCCTGTCCTGCAATGCCACCAAGAGCCCATGGGTCTGTGCCACCAGGAAGGTCACCCACCCCAGACACCCTCCCAAAATCTTCTGCTGGGATACAACTCTGCAGCCCCACAGAATTACCCAGGAGCCACTTGTCCAGAGGAACTGTGGCTACTCCATCCTTGGAAGTGTCCAAGGTCAGGTAGGACATGGCTTGGAGCAACCTGGGCTGGTGGAAGGTGTCCATGGCAGGGAGTTGGACAAGATGAGCTTGAAGATCCCTTCCACAGGCTTCTGTGTGCTGGAGCCCACGGAAGGAGCCAGTTTGCTCACCTGGTTGGGGTGCAGGCAGACACAGTTGATGGGAGCGTTCACCTGGAAAATGCGCTGGCACTGGAGGTTCCGGGACCTGTGACAGACAGTGAGGAAGGGGCGTGTTTGGGAGCCTGGGATCAGCCCCACAGCCCCAGGGCACTGCTGGACCAGGGGACACCCCTGCCCACCTGAGGTCCCAGATGCGGGCCATGCAGTCCTCGCCGCCCGTGTACATCCAGCGCCCGTCCTCGTGGAACCCCACCGACGTGATGTTCTTGCTCACGCCGTCGTAGTTGATGACGGGGTTGGGGTTGTTGGAGTTGAGGTCGTACATGCGGATGTGCTGGTACCCTGCGTGCACCGGGCAGGGGGTGGGCGCCGTCCCCGCGCCCGGTGTGCCCGGTGTGCCCGGTGTGCCCGGTGCGCCCGGCGGGACGGGGGTGCTCACCTGCGGCTGCGATCATGCTCCGGTCCGGCGTGATCTCCAGGGCGTTCACCTGCTGCGGGCGCCGTTAAGGTCGGTACGGAGCACCCTCCGGGCCCGCCCCGCGGCGCCCCGAGCCCCGGGAAGGATACGGAGTCCTGGTGCTGCACCGTGCGGGTGCAGATGCCGCTGTGCGCCTGCCAGAACCGCACCGTGTGGTCGTAGCCGGCCGTGGCCAGGATGACGGGGTCGCTGCCCACCGTGCCCTGCGCCGCGTTCATGGTGTCCCTCACACGGGGGGGGGGGGTGTCCCTCACACAGGGGGGGGGTGTCCCGCACACCAGGGATGTCCCTCCCACTGGGGCTCCCCCCGCTCCCCTCCCTGTCCGCCTCCGCTCCCCCTTCCCCTTCCCGGTGCTCCCTCCCGGTACTCCCGGTGCTCCCGGTGCTCGCTCCCGGCTCTGCGCATGCGCCCGGAACAGGCCCGAGCCGCCCCCGGCGGGAACGCGCATGAGCGGCAGCGGCGCGGCGGGACGTACCATGGCTGGGGAGGAGGGGGGGGGCGTGAGGTGAGACCACGGAGCAGCACGGGGGGGGGGGGGGGGGGGGGGGGGGGGGGGGGGGGGGGGGGGGGGGGGGGGGGGGGGGGGGGAAAGGCCCGGGGCCCGGGGGGGGGGGGGGGGTGGGGGGGGAGGGGGAAGGGGGGGGGGGATATGGGGTGTGGGATGGGGGATATGGGATATGTGATGTGGGATAAGGGAGATGGGACACGCACCGGGAACCGGGTACACACGGGGCATGGGACACACCGGACATGG